AGTAATGATTTAACTATTCCTTGAACTGAAAGGTTGGTCAAAGGAGCTACTGCAAAAGACAAGGTTGTCTGTTACGCTGTTAGGAGAAGAGCCACAGCCCTGTTCCCTTTCTGCAAAAAAATTGAATTATGCCCAGTCTTCCACCTCCTAGCATTTATCTACGCCACAGAATACAGGAGCATGCAGTACCAAGGAAGGGAGGGAAGTCTGGAACTGTCGTGCTACAGTTAGACAATAAGCCGTAACCAGGACATACTCTTTCTCCTAGGAATTATGCATGACATAGCTAAATGCCTTTGTTCTCTTGGCAGTGCAATTATGTCAAAATCACACTGACCTCTTCTCCCTAGTGTTGCAGAATTGCTTTCAAAAGGGTTTATCAGAGTGATAAAGTACAATTGTGAAAGGAGATGCACTTATAAAATCCTTTAAATTAACCTGAGCTTCTCCTGCTTACAAACTGCCTTCTGCACAGTATCCAGCATGTAGTTTTCTTCAATGCAATGAACCATTTTCCTCATCTGATTCTTGCTGGAAGTAAAGGCAATGGCACAGCTAGTTCTCTTTCAGATTTTATTGAATATTTTAGTATCAGTAGGTGGGGAACATTTCAGGAAGAACTCCATTGCTTTCAGACTAATATTCTGCTCTGGGCTACATGAGGACAGAGGTGCTGTACAGTGGTCAGAATCAAATCCAGAATTTCAGATTTTTCTTTTTTTTAACAAAGAGATTAATATTTTTGCAGATAGATGGTTCTTATTGTTTTGTGTGCAGGCCTGAACCTGCACACAACCTGAATATATATATATTCACTTGAATATATATATATATATATATTTTTTTTCAGACGTTTGCATGATCCAAGTATGGTTTCAGAGCAGACAAAGCATGATGTGGTGTGTTGCACTGAAGCTTTCCATCCAGAGTATGACCCGACTTTCAGTCCTGTTTTGATCAAAAATGACTTTGTCAGCTCAGACCTTTTTGCCCTGGTAGTCTGTTCCCACTTGTCATGCAGTCCAACATCAGGCTGTGACGATCGCAGATGTATTACATAGGATTTTTTTGTTTTCTTTTTAACACTCTCTGCACAGTTATCTACTTTATTCTGATCTTAATGTTTTTCTTTTAATGAATAATCTATTAGGTGAGAATAGTGTCTTGCTGAAATGGATAATGCTCTTTTGACTAATAGATACTGTAAAGTCTCCATTCACCTTTAAATTCAAATCAGCTTGTATTTCCTAAAAATGAAATAATGAATGCTTGGGAAGCATTCTGGACATTTATTTACACAGTAGGGTTTTTTTACTATTTTCTACTGCTTTTATATTAAAACTTTTCCCAACTGCTATTTCAGAAGTCAGGAATGAAAAACAAATCAGTGCACTCCCTACTTCTTGTTTTTGTGGGGTTTTTTTGTTTGTTTGTAGCTTGTTTTTTTATTGGGAAGGGACTGCACCTTCATAGATCTTCTGGATTGTATTTAGCTGACCTGAGCTTACCTTAAAGCAGGTTCTCACAAGGTTTGAAAAACAGGAGTTTTGTGTGTGAATGTGTGCTAGGGTCGAAGGTAGATTGCTAACAACTTGTCAGTAGTACTTAAGAAAAACATCTAAAAGGAATAAATTAAATTTGAATGCTCAGATCTTAAGATTCTTTTTATGTTTAAGATCAAAAGCAAGAGCAAAGTAAATTGCCTGCTTGTCATCTCAGTGTTATTGCATTGATTTGTTCAGATTTCTTTCCTAAGCTTACTAATAAAAGCGAGGGGAATACAGTTGAGTGAACAAAGAAATACTATTGAAGTAAAAATAAATAAATAAATAAATAAAAAAGTCAGATTTCTATTAATACACAGCAGTGACCTGTTTGTTTCTTTGTTCAAGATGTAACAGATTCTAACACAGCCGTAACAAGAATGAATTGTAACATTGGAAATAAAGAATACCTGAAAACTGAAGTCTGGGAGCAGTTTTCACTGTGTGATACCTAAGATGAATACTAATACTAGCAGAGGCTGGTCCAGAGCACCTCAAATTCACAAGGGCATTTCAGATTTGAATACCCATCCAGTGGAATTAGCATCTGAATGATAAATCTGCTAAAATAGAGAATTTGAATGAACAGTGTCCATAAACAGCAGCTTGCTTAAGGCAGTCTGCCTCACATAGCCAACAGGAGGTAAAATAATTTTTAAATCACATGCCCTGTTGGTGAGGAATCACATTTGCAGTATTTATCAATTGCTCCAATTTCAGTTCTTTACCAAAATACTTCATTGGGTGCAGGCAGGTAGCAGATGCTAATCATAACCGGGAGAAGCTGCAGTATTTGTTGGAGAAGAAAAAAGGCTGTGTGACTCATGGGACAAACTTCGCCTGGCTTTGGTTTTGCTTGCTGCTGATTTTGGCTAAATGGCCTAAGATAGGTGCCTCAAAAATCTCCTGAATTCTCACACAATGGGAGATTTTGTTTTTTCTTGCAGTATAACTGAAGTTGTTTCCTTGCTTTTTATTTGTAATCCTTCTAACTACACTAAAACTGTAGGTTGGAGTTTTGTTTACTTATGGTGACACAAGTCTTCACTTCTGGTCTTCTTTTAGTGCTAAAGGTTATATTCCATGGACGGTAGAAAGCTGTTACTATACACACACTGATGCTTCCATTACTTATTTCCCTTACAAAGCACTTTTTCTCTCTTACTAAAAGTGTCACATGCAATTTGCATCTCGCTATGATTTTGAATGTTATTTTTTTTCCTAACTTTTTCAAAGACTGAAGTTGTTTGGAAAAGTGGAAAATATTAAAATGAACTTATTACCATAGTAGCACTGTTACTGAGTAGAAACTAGTAAAGATATTTTACAAATCTAGCTGGTGTAGTATGAAAGCAAGCCAAACATTTGGCTCCTTATGTTCCATCTTTGGAGACTAAGCCACAGCTTTTTACCTTTAACAGGTAAAGACCAAGATCCTGTCAAATCTGTGATATTATATGCCTGAAAATAGAGTCTAGAATGTTACTAAAGATACTGATTATTTGTTGGGCACTTGAAGGACAGGAAAGTGCTATATCCATAGATACTTTACAGCCATCTCTAAGCTGGCTCACTCTTAAAATTATTGCAACAAAGGAAGATAGGTCTCAGTCTAACAAGATGTCATATATAAAGTTCCCACAAAGTTCAGTTTTGCTTTCTGTACTGGACACGATACTCAACCCCACCATAACAGCTCTTGGTTGGGCCCACACTGCCTGATGCATCAGGCAGGAATGTGGGGGCCTAGAGGGGAAGCAAGTGTAGCCCCAAGGCTTGGATACATGCACATAATGAGAAGGAAACACCCTGTTGTTCTGCCTGGATTACTTAAGGATGTTGTATTAGATAGTTGCTGCAACGAGCTGCAACATGGAGCTTGTGAGAAACAACTCTTGCTCTCAGTGAACTGACCATAGCGTCAGTTTATATTGTAATTCCCTATATTGTAATTCTAAAAACAATATAAAAGCATGCAATCTCTGCAAAGAACTCATTATGTCACACTGCTACTTTCTGAGATATTCTTATTGGATTTCTCTCAAGGAGGAAAAAAAAAAAAATTGACTGTTTTGCTAGGTTCCTGCAGCCAAGAGCAAGCTCTCCATGTTATAATGCTGACTTACAAGTGTAACTGTTACACAGCTAGGTGGGTGTTAGAGAACAAAAGGAATCAGTACTGATAAACAGGATTACAGATTAGTTTCATTTGGCAATGACCTTCACACACCACTGTTCAATGTAAAGTTTGCTTCACTCTCATTTCCATCTTGAGTCATTTGCTATCTGAGGAAGGTTTGGCTTTTGAAATATGAAAGCCTACATAGCTTTTACCAAGCACATAGCAGAATAATTTATATTTTGCTTTCCAAACTGCTTAATTTTTAACTATAGATTGATGCTAGTTTATGTATTTTACATCAGTCTTCAAATCACTGTCTATCTCCCCTGAAAGCAAAGGACAGATGTAGCCCACTGTCTTAAGACAAGTTCACCTACTTTCCTATCATTTAATGATGGCGAACTGAATCTAAGCCTACTGTAGGCAAAAAGGTGAAAGGCATTCTGGCTGAGGAAATGAGGATTTCCTTGTAAAGCTATAACCGTGGTCCTAGTCACAGCTCTCTGCCTTTACACTGTCTATAATCTCTTCCAGCATTTACTTTGTCTGAAGGCAAAAATCAGTTGTTCCTAGCATTTTTTTTTGTCACTAACAGTTATAACAACTCATGAACAACTCATTCTCTGCACTGGCACTTGATCAGGACAAAATGCATGTTGCCTTTTGTGTTAAGCATGGAATGGGACATTAGGTTTCTTTATTTAAAACCTAAATATCTTTGAAAATAGATTAAAAATATGTATGCTTTTTGTTTCGACTTTTTTTTTTTTTTTAAAAGGGCCACTTACACTTTGGGTAAATAGCTTTATGATCTCCTTAGTGAATTTTCTGCATATTAATTAACAAATACAGCTACAGTTCATAGCTTTCAGCTTATGTTTCCTTGACATAATTCTTCAGGTAGTTATTTATTACTTTTTTTTTCTAAATTAAATCAATTTCCTCTGGTGTATTCCTTCTTTCTAGCCAAAAGAGTTAGCAAGATGACAAATGCCTTGCAGTAAGCATAAAGACATGGGAATCTAATAACCCTAAACAAATCTAGTGGAGTGTTAACATCATTCTTTTTACTCATTTATTATGGCTACAATTTATTGCTGTTAACTCATTATTTGTTTAAAATGCAAGTTTGGCTAAATGGTTTCCTTTTCATTTCATGCTTTATGAACCACTAAGTACTGCAGGTAATCATGACACCTGTACTTACTATCAAATTTTTCCTACAACCCCAATAGTGGTGTAATACAACTTCAGCAGTGCCTTTCAGTACAAACACATATTGTATATAAACTGCAAATGCTAACTATATGTATGCTTTTTATTTTTTTAAACAGGCGTTAAAGCTGTGTTTTCAGGACATTACCACAGGAATGCTGGAGGGTGCTACAGAGGACTGGAAATGGTGGTCTCATCAGCAATAGGATGTCAGCTGGGAGAAGATAAACATGGACTTCGAGTGGTCCTTGTCACAGATGAAAAGATTGTTCATAGATATTACAGTTTAGATGAGTTGAGCAGCCAAGGCTTGGAGAAAGAGATGATGGATATGCTTGCTAAGGAAAATTAGGCTATGTCAAATTCCTTTTAACTCAAATGGTTTATGTGATTTTTTGCCATGTTTGTTAGATGAACACAAAGAGTTTCAGAAAGTTTCCACAACTTGAAATCAAATTTTTGCTTGTGCACCATGCCCATGAACAGCTCTCCATTTGTTATCATCCTAAATAACAAAAAAGAGTTCTTGACGTATATTTTTGTAAAATGAGACCCACAAGGAATATGGGAAAATAACACATCACTGAAAACATTTTTCTGTTCTGAGATTTTATACTCTCCTCATGGATAAGACATTCTAAATAAATAGGAAGTATATGCAAGAGTGAGAGTAGTAATTCTAGGTAATGCTTCAACTGAAGACTATTTTCATTTGATATGTAAGACATTAGAAAAAGAAAAATCAATAAATTCAATCACCTCAGTTACACTCTGGACAATACAAACTTTTTTTTTTTTTTTTTTACTTTAGAGAAACAAATCTCAAAAAGTCAGTGAAAGCAATAGACTCCATTTAAATACAGTACAGGAGGTGAAATACTGTGTTGAAGATTCAATTTCATTACGTTTTAGTTACAACATTTTATTTGAGAGAGGGCTCATGAGATTTTAAAAATATCTGCAGTATTTTGAACTGTTTTCTTTTACCAGTATAACAGCTGTAGCTGCAAGTGGACAGTACCAAACATGAGCTACAATGTCATGATAACAGCCTAAGCGTAGGTAATGTTTGAATCAAAAAGAAAGAAAATGATTTTGCTTTTGATCTCCAGCTGCTTTTGATTAGTTTAATGTTTTCACAGGTTCATTTTCAAGGGAACATGCGGAAAACGGGAGAGAAAATCTAAAGTTAGCTAAACACCCAGAAAGAAGTTTCACTGGAAGTTAAGCAGTTAATTTATTAGTTTAATAGTTAAAAGTTATTTTAAAAAATCTGTGTACTTTTGTATCTTTGAAACCACCGAGTTCTGTTAACATTTAGTCTTAGATTACATTTAGTAATCACAGGTTATTAAAGGTTTCAAAAACAAGATGATACTAGATTATTACTTGCAGAGGGAAGAACAGATTTGCTATTCAGTCTGGCATTTACGTTTTAAGGCTGAAAAAGTTCAGCAGAGGGACCTGAGACAGTCCAAGCACGGAGCACGCTCCCTGCTCTGGCACAGTACTGTAAAGCTGGATGGAGGACATGCTTTTTTCATATGGCCGTTTATTAAATGTAATTTTAGCTGAATATCTGAACCTTGGGAGATAGGTCCTACAAACATATCTTCAGGAGGAAGACTTTCCAAAACTACAAAAACATTAATAGTAGTGGTATTATAGAACTCTAATTTTATTTTCATGGTTACAATGTACTAATATACAGTGGAAATGTTTGCATAAGCATCATTTTAATTCATATTTGTACATTATTTTTCCTCTTCTTAAGTATCATTTCATTGCAAGAAATTCCATAGCATTCAGTCATAAAAATTTTGCTCAAGTACAAATCTGAAGTTCAATTAAAAGATATTTTATATCCCAAGTACTCCTTTTATTTGGAATGTGCTTTTTTACCTGCATAAATGAAAAATGTTTTTTAGATTAATTTTCTTAGTATAATCAGCTACTTCAGAATTAATATGGATGCCTTAACTAACTACAAATGGCAGAGGTCTTCACGGTGAGAGCACATCATATTTATGTAAAGTAACTCATATTCACAGAATTATCACAGAATTGTAGAGGTTGGAAGGGACCTCCAGAAATCATGGAGTCCAACCCCCTGCCAAAGCAGTTCCCTACAGCAGGTCGCACAGGTCGGCATCCAGGCAGGTCTTGAACATCTCCAGAGAAGGAGACTCCACCACCCCCCTGGGCAGCCTGTTCCAGTGCTCCGTCACCTCACTGTAAAGTTCTTGCGCACATTCACATGGAACTTCCTATGCTGCAGCTTATGTCTGTTTCCCCTTGTCCCGTCTCCACGTACCACTGAAAAGAGACTGGCCTCACCACTATGGCCCCCACACCTCAGGTATTTATAAACCTGGATTAGATCCCCTCTAGTCGTCTTTTCTCAAGGCTAAATAGACCCAGTTCACTTAGCCTTTCTTCATAAGGGATACTGTGTTAAATTATGAAACAATCCTGGTTTGCCAGTTTAAACTGAAGAAAATGCTTCTTCTGAATCTTTCTTGAAAGAAAGTAAATGCTTGATGTCTCATAAAAAGAAAAATGATATTTTATGGTGGGAATGGGCAGTGATAGAAGTGAAGCCTCTTCTACCATCTCAATTTAAGACTGAATGTTCCATGCTCACCTTGCTTCTTTGCTTCAGTGAATGCTCTCTTATCTCTGCACTGTAACTTGTTTCCTGGTGTGTTTTTAGTAGCAATTTTAATTCTGCTGTGAGCAAATAGAGATGTATCTATCATAAGCAAATGCACAGAACATTGAAAACCAAGCATTTCACCATTTAAGAATGCACAGTTCCTCTGTCTATGTATGTCACTGTACAAACCTTTGAAGGCTAACATGTCATTGTTTCAGTTAATGTTAATGCTGTGAATAAGCTGCTTTCTGTAACGCCCTCATTAATCCTGCTTTGCAACTGCCATTTGAACAGTGATATCATTGAAAGCAGTAGGAAATATTTACATATACTTTACTTATCAGAAAGCTTGCCTGCCAAACAAACCCTAGCATCATCTGTTATGATACACATTCTTGACCTGTGGAAATACCAGTTTGCATTAAAAAATTGTGAAAAGGTAATTTCCCATTCAATAACATTTTACAGTTTGTAAGAACTTCCTTCTCTTCCAGCTCTAACCTGATATATGATGTCTGCCATCATTGGTAGATAGCAGAATGCACAGCCAGGAACCAAGGAGGTGAGTGGTTTAGCCTGCCAGTGGTCTAGATTGCCATGAACCATTGGCTCCCACTTAGCTGGAAGTTGGCAGCTGTCCCACCCTGCTCCTAAGGGACGCTAGCTACTCCAAAGGCTATTCGGTCAGTTCTCTGCTGGCAAGTGGCTGCTCTTCAGCATTTGTCAAATATGAATATTCACAGCAATGCAACATGACTAATTTTCACTGTTAACAACTATATAAAGGCTGGTTAATATAGCCTGAAGGTAGGCTCCCCACTGCCATAATATGCACAGTGTACAAACCAGGGCAGACTTCCTCCTCCCAGCTCCACAGATCCCATCGGGCCCTTTTAAGGATGCACAAATTGCAGTAACAAAACAGGATGATCTAAGGCATGTCTACTTTGACTCACAAGATAGCAGTTATGACTTCTTACAAAAATTTAATCGTCAGAGCAATACAATTCATCTGGAGTAAAGCAGCCCATGAGTTTAAAGACTGCTGTTCTCCCTACTATTACTTGTTTGTTGTTGTTTTTAAGGAATATGATGACTGTAATGCGTAATTCCAATTTATTTCATTTTACTGCAGTGAAAGCAAAGTGGTTTATTACCAAAAATAAGTTTCCAGCAACAGGGATTGCTGTACTTACTCAGCACATTTCAGGATATTTTGTTCAGATTGCAGATTTTTACATTCTCCTTAAAAAATTTTACATCATCATAAAAAACGGTGGAAGGAACGGAGCTTAAAGTGGAAGTATGAAATGAAAGCTTCTTCATGAAAAGTATGTTCTTTAAGAATGCACTGTTTCAACACAGTAATAATTAGTTTGAATTACTGTAATGCTATAATGTGATGGAAAGTACAGCAATAGTAGCAGGGTGGCACAATCCTGGGCTGCAGAAAATGAGAACAAGCCTAAAGGCTGCAGCCACAGATGCAGAAAGAAAGGAAGAAAAACTTCTGACCTTTGGAGGACCTCAGGTACACAGGGATCTCCAATGAGATCCCCTCACCTCCTCCACTGCCAGCCCTTAAATGAGGGCTGGGAAGAGGTGGGTCCTGGTTCCACCCTTCCATCACTCAGTGCATTGCATTGCATTGCATTGCATTGCATGCACCTGAGCTCCCTGGGCTGCCCTGCCTTCCCACCAGGTGCTCCATCACTGCTTCAGGCCACGACTCAGCATTTCTGATGTAGTTACTTTTTTAAGAAAGCAAGTAAAAAAGAGAACAAGAGAAAAAGAGGGAGAATGCTATTTGTTTCTGTGACCCAGTTTGAAAGCTGAAATAGTCCAACTGAGAAAATAGCGTTCCTTTTCACTGCATAGCAATTTAACACAGATGTTAAATGCATTGACAAAATTGAATTCATTTACAAACATAAATGTCACTGATCTGTCAAATTAATATTTTTTTCCTATTCTTATCATTTGGTACACTGTTGCAATAGGTTAACTGAGTTTGTTTTTTTTTTTCCTAATGTGAATTTCTGAGCCTAATTATTAAAGAATTTTGTTTGCTGTGGACAAATGCAGGAGGTGGTTTCCAATGTGTCTCATTCAAAATTAATTCTAAATTTTACAGCTTAAACTTTTTATATAAATCAATTTGCATTAGAAAAACACTTCAAGAAAATCAATGATTTGAAAAGATAGAGAGTTGTATACATATCAAAGGGAAGAATCTAAATATATCAAAAAAATGATGGAACTATGACAAAACTTCACTTACAACAATGTTTAACCCAAAGGACTTTCACAGAACTATTTGTTTCACTCCTGTTCTTACCTGTACGTTAGGTGGTATAAAAGTTTCCAGCTCACACTGTTAGATTATTTCTTAGCTCTCTAATATCAGTGCCGACATCTAATTGCTCCCCTTATCCTCCTAAGAAATAATGCAATCCTAATTTATTATGCATCTCATTAAAGATGCATTGTACCACTAACCAGGTAAAGGTATTTTACTTGAAGCTTCTGGAATTTATTTTTAAGTCTTCAACATTTTAATTGCTTTGCTTTGCCCTTGGGTTCCTAGAAATTAAATATAAACACACAACTTTCTATGCAACTAGAATATAACCCATGAAATTTCTGTACTCTTAAACAACATTATAGCAACACAAATTTATGTGCTTACATTTATTGCTACTGTTTCTGGTGTTTTCCTTCTTCCCCTTTCCCCACTTCCCCCCTCCCCCCCTTTTTTTATTAAACATCTAAGAAAATAATTCTTCCCTTAGTTGTCCTCAAAAAGTAGTTACACCTGGTATGGTTTGAGATATTTAACTACTCCCTGGCTTTTGAATATGCCTCCATTTCTCTCTGTCCTATTATTATATGTCCTATTATTATACTCTGGGAAAAAAAATCTGGTTGCGCTAGCCGTAAGTCTACAGGTACGCCCTGTTAAAACAGTCTGGGTAATGAAGATCTCAGGACCTCAGGGAAACAGGCACCTGCTATAATCATAAAGTAATAAAGGCTGGAAAAAAACCTCTAAGATCAGCCAATCCAACTATCAACACATCACCACCATGCCCACTAAACCACTTACCTCAGTGCCAGATCTTCCCTTTTCTTAACACCTCCACAGACAATGACTCCACCAGCCTGTTCCAGTAACACACCACTGAGAATAATTCTTCCTTCTATCCAACAGGAACTTTCCCTCCTCTCATCCTAGTGCTGGTTATACGGGAGAAGAGGCTGACCCCCACTTTGCTACAACCTCCTTTCAAGGAGCTGCAGGGAGTGATAAGGTCTCCTCCTGAGCCTCCTCAACTCCACACTGAACAACCCCAGTTCTTTCTGCTGCTCCTCATAAGACTTGTGTTCCGGACTGACCTTTCATAGCTCTGTTGCCTTTCTTTGGACACACTCCAGGGCCTCAACAACTTTCTTGTCATGAAGGGCGCAGAACTGAATACAGCACAGAACAGGTGTTGTGTACATCAGAGCTGAGTACAGGAAGATGATCACCTCCCCGCTCCTCTTGGCTGCGCTGTTTCTGATACAGGCCAGGATGCCCTTGGTCCGCATGGCCATCTGAGCATACTGCTGGCTCACGTTCAGCCAGCTGCTGATTAGAGCTCTCAGAATCCTTCTCCAGCATGCAGTTTTCCAGCCACTCAGTTTCAAGCCTGAACTACTGCACTTGGTTTTCTGGAACTCCATACCACTGGCCTCAGCCCACCAAGCCAGCTTATCCAGACCCCTCTGTAAAGCCTTCCTACCCCTATGCAGATCAACACTTCTTCCAGTTTGGTGTTATCTGCAAATCTACTGATGGTGCCATCTATCCCATCATCCAGGTCATCAGTGAAGATACTGGTAACATAATATTAAGTAGATGTGGTCTGAGTTAATTGCAAAGAAGAATAAGAAATTATTTAAGGTCCTTTCCATCCATATATTCATTAGGATAAAATTTTGCTGTTATTTTGTTTTGCAAGCATAGGAACGATACTGTTATACAATTTGATTATGCAATCCCTGTGATGATATTCAAAGGCATGCTATTCCTAAACAAACTTGCTGCTATTCAAAGATTCAGTTGTAAGGAGAGCTGGCAATGCAAACTCCAGGATGTGTGATCCAGTGATCCAGGCATTATTTCAGTGTTTCCTACAATGTTAGAAGGTGAAAGCCACTTCACTTTAAGCCACCAACTGAGGTTCAGGTCTTAGAAATCTCACTTTTACACTAAGATCTGCTGAATAGCAATCCTAGTTTAATTAAATGTGGTGTAGATTCAGTCCTCTTGGGGACTTAAACATAGCGAAGATATTGTTTCATAACTAGGACATTGCCTGACAGAGCCTTAGCAGGAAAAAATGGAAAGAAGTTTCTGTATTAGAACGGCAAAGCATGTACTTGTCAAAATTACTGTATGCATTTAGGGAAAATAGTTGCAATTAAACTAATTATAATTTAAGAGTACTTAAATGACTAACAATAAAGACTGCATCTTTATTTTTCTGCATTCAGCAGGCATCCTTCTCTGGCCTTGTACGTGAACCACCTGATACTCTACAAGGCCACAGGAAAGAGTTTATCTAAACAAAGTCATCTGTTTTCTTTAAAAATGCATGACTGTTTGCTAGGTGGGAAAGCTGCAGTTTGAAGTCTCTCCGTTAGCAAAAATTGACAAGGTAAAAGAGGAATATACACCTGAAATACACATCTTTTAAATGTAATAAAAGAACTAGCAAGTGCATACTGCATCCATCAGTACCTCTTAATTCTCTGCTAGGGAAATCAGATAGCTGAGTTTCTTCAGTGTTAATGCTCATCCTTGACTCATTTCTTTAAGGCTATCAGAAAAATGTATTGTGTTCAGTGTTCCAATTGAAGGAACTTAAAAGAGCCTCCCATTTTGCATAGGAACTCATACAGGAAGGCACACTGAAGCACTACAGAGGGAACATCTTGAGTTTCCAGTAGGTTCTCAGTTTGTGGATTCAGACATAAATGGCATCAACTTAGATTCAATACCAATATTTTAAATTAGTGTCTCTGTCCAGAAACAGGGTGGGGAATTGTCCAGCCAGATCCCCATATTTGGAGGCTTAATAATAGAGAAAGAAGAAAGGATAGGTTGACAGACTTTTTTTTCCCTCACAGACTAAACCTTCCCTGAAAACAGGTACCATGACAGTAACATATGACTGAGCATCCAAGTACACTGCACCTTTTTATCACCTCAGCCCTGAGAAGCTACTATTTCAGTGATGAGTACTTAACAAGACATGACTAATGCAATTTAATGCACTTAGAAGTCTTGATAAAAATAACCATTTATCAAAGAAAGCTTTTTAGTAAAAAAAAAATCTTTGAGTATTCTTACAGCCTTTGCAAAGTAAAATCAAGTTTCACTGAAATTAAGACTTCAAAAGCCTTCAGAAACATTATTCAAAAACATTTTGATGTGCTGAATTGTTAGCCACTTTTTAAGTGACATCAAAGGAGGAAATTAAAATTTTAGTAATACTTCAAAATATCCTATTTTGATTACTTGACCTGATATCAAACTGTATGGAAGAGTTGTATTCAGAAATGTGAGTCTGTCATCATCTCTGCTCCTTAAGCACAGCATAAAAGAAGCAAAAGGGCTGGGAAAATTTAATATCTAAAATTTAGTATCAAGCAAAATATGTGGAATTGGTTTAATTTCTGTACCTCAGTTGTAAATTAGACCATTATTACTCTGAACTAAGGTTTATCAAATGTCATTGAACACATTTCACAATATATGTCAAACAAACTGTTCTTTGTAATGTGCTACATATGGAGTAACATTGATTCACTTTAGAATGAGGACAATACAACCTTCAAACAGAGTTTGGATTTTGAGATATCAACTAATTCATTCAAGCATTTTCACCTAGAACTCATCAGAAAAACAACCGCTCCCTTCACACTACAGTTAATGTCCAGTCTCTGGACACCACCACATCTACTGGACACCACCATTAGCCAAAATCCAGGATACATGTTTGGCTAGTTAGCTTTTATTAGGAGCAGTAGCCATTCAAAGAACAGAATATTCCAGTTCTAAGCGAAACCTAGCAATTCCAGGACTTTAAAATTGCTTCCTTGGCCTTTGCAAACTTCTGAACTTTTCATCTATTTAGTAATGGGAGGAATAAGCAAAGGCTGCCTCAGAATCAAGAGCAACAGTTGAACAGCAAGACTATCTTAAGCAAGTTACAGAATAGCGACAAAAGGATAACTTTTAATTATGTTTTGTATTTGTACATAGTAATTTACACACACGCATACATACATAATCTGAACAAAGAAAACTTTTCCAGAAACTGGAAAACATCAACTGAAATGCAAATTTAACCACCATTCCCTTAGCTAATCGTGATATTGCTCTTAATTGTGTCTGCATACTGCTTTTTGTCATTGAATTTTTTCTTAAGGTTCCTGCACTTATTTTAAAGGAAATATAGCGAGAGAAAACTAGTGAGCAGTTTCAATCCTTCAAAATCCTTCAAAATTATTCGTAACCCAAGAAGTTCACAGAAAACACAACCTATACGAGCTTATGTACAAAGGGAAACATTTTAAACTTGTGTTGGACTGCAAAAGGTCTTTGATCGTTGAACAATTCTGACAGTCTCTGCTTAGCTGGAAATGATCCTATAACACGTCATATTCAGTAAATTCATTATTAAAACTTGCCTTCACCTTCATGTATAAATCACACTGTATATTAACAAAGAACCAGGAAAGTGCACTTCAGGTTGAGAGCTGCACCTATCACACACTTTTGACTTCGTTCTAAACAGCATGTTTTTCACTTTATAGTGGAAGAAACTGCTTAAGAAAAAACCTAGAGGAAAACAACAAAATACTGCTTTGAGACATCAAACACACTACAGATGTGTGTTTTTCCCTCTGCCCAACGTACAGCTTGGTCAGTTTGGTTCACGGGTTTACAACATTTGTTCTGAAAGAAAAAGAGGTCCCTACCCCTCAAGAGTACTCCACAGCTTTAGTCAATGGGTAAATCATGATGATCATCTGTTAGAATTGACAGCTTAGTGTGAACTGCATCTCTGGTCTTCTGAACTGCCTGACAACACACAGTACTCTTTATCTTCCTATAAGCTGTGGAGATTTGTAAAAGTGAGCAAATGAAGAAAGCATGAGATAAATTCCTTCTTGTACTTCTGTTTTTAAAACCTATTCTAGGACACAGGGAGCCTCTAAATGGTTCCATCCAGCACAATGTACCAGAGACGTCTCTATCAGCTGTCTTTGCATGATCTTTACAGAAAGGCCCAGCTGGAAGTCTCCATACTGGTACTGCTTTAACTTTTCAGTGAGCTTACACATTGTAAAAATCATTCTGAAGCTCTTTTCAATGTTTGTCTCAAGAAAAGCAGATCTGATAATTCAGTTCCAGCAGATAACAGTTTTCAGTAAACACTTCCTCCTTCCACTCTCAGTAATATAATACAACTAAAGAATTTTGTATGATTGAGTGAGTTGCAGAAGAAAAGCATTTGTTCAAAATACTGAATCCACAGTCAAAATGAGGCATAGATTTTAAAAGCTACAGGAAACATTAACAACTCTGTTGCTGAGTACACCCTGATCAGATGGAAGAATTGCACAATTCGCTCCTATTTAAGAAGACCTATTTTTCACCACAAATGTGGATATAAGAATCTGTAGCTTTAAGCATTTATTTTTGCGCCAATAACCAATGTGCTTTTGATCTCTCCACAATTCCATCCATATGAAGGAAGGCTGAAGAGAGAAAATAAGATTTATATCTATTTCTAGGAAAGACAGTGGAGCAATTTCACCAGTCAAATTGCCAAAAATTTGGTGCCTTTCACACTATTACTCAGGCACACGAACACAACACCCTCACTTTTAGTACTCTGCATTGACTACCTAGTGGATGATTTTGGGGACCAATGGAAAAACCGGGTTTCTTAAGGAAAAACAACAGATTTGCCAAATATTCCACAACCATTTTTAAAGCTCCTGTGAAAACATTTGTTGTTTTTTTTCATTCTGTTCCAGTAAACAACTGACCAGGTTTCCAAAGTCAGTTGAGTGCCTGCTATCCCTACCAGTTGCTGTGATGCTCTCACACTGAAGTGCTTCAGTGAAAACAAAACTCTCTGGGGAAAAGGCTATGTGAATGACAACATGTATACAATGTACATAGTCTGAAAAGCTAAGTTACTGAGCTGCACATCCTAACACAGCTGCCAGACTCTGCCACACTTAAAAGGGTGCTGCAAGCTCAGTGCCTACTGTAAATACCAGGAGAATATCAGAGTACTAATGCTTTTTGAGATGGCCAATAACTACAATAGCCATGCAAAGCAAAGGAATAGGAATTAAAGTAACTAACTGAAAGTTACTTTGTCTGTGATTACAGCTTACTAAATCCCACAGCACAGCATCTTCAATTCTTTAAAAGTCAGTTATTTTTACATTGCAAGGAGAGGGAAGAAAATGGATCTGCGTCAGAAAGATGGCACATTCAACAGCAAATGTTGGCACAAAGATTTAAATGTATCAAAAAATACTTGCACTTTTCTGCTTTCAAATACCCATCTTCAGGCATTCTAGTTTTTCATTTGAACAGAGGATGAACACCGGCAGTATCACTAAGTTGACTGACAATTATAGGGCAGGAACTCAGGAAAAAGTAATTTTGGCAACCATCCAGGAGGACAAACCTAATCACTGGCCTTCAAATAGCTTTCCTGTTGTACATAGAAGAACCCTAAGTATGTAGTGTTATCTGAGCTAAATGTGGAAAAAAGAAGTTGTCTAAGGATGCAGTTAATCTGGAACTTCAATTCTAATCTATTTGAACACTAATTATGATTACAATTAAATTAAACATTTCTGGGAAATTTGGCTACTTTGGATTCTAGAAAAATGATGCTACCATATCATTTCAAGGTCCAGCTCAGATATTATCTCACTGATTTGATCTACTACAATTTTAGAATAACAACAACTTTTCTTGGCTGCTTGTACAATAAAATCAAACTGGATTACTTTCTTTGCTGTAACAATTATACAAAACAAAGATTAATAAAGTCAAATTAATTTGTTTCAAACATGTTGTAATAAATGGTACATTCTACATACATACGCTAGATCACCAGACTAATTATGCTTCCATAATCTTCCACACTGCATAATCTCTTTCCTGACAACTTTTAGATCAATAATTTTTAAAAAAATAAAAATCAAATACATGTATTATTTTTACAGTGAGTTCAAGATTTCATAATACAATATGCTAAACTTTCTATCCAATGTATCACGTTCTGGTATCCTGTGGTCACACTAATCACATTAGAGGGCTAAGTATACATAATACTTCTATTTATTTATGTGCCGGAGGAAAAAAAAAGTATCCTTAGCTTACTGACATGACTTCATGCTCACACACCAACTAGACCACTGTCACATGGTGCCTAGTTATGCTGCTCTTCATATTACGTAAAACACTAATATGCATACACTTCTCAAGTTAAGTTAAAGGTTTGCCAGTTATTTTTGGTTTGCAAAATTTCATTAGGAAAAATAAAAATCTTAAGAATTTCAGGCTCTAAGATGCAGATTCCTGTCCAAGATAAACGACAACAGATCCTGATTCCTGAAATGGCTGAATTAACAAGCAAATGAAAGTCAGCACAACCTAACACAATTATAATCAATTATCAATGTATCAAAGAATGTGGCTGCTGTGTGTAGTGTTTGGACCTCTGTGAACACAGTTCTGATATTTCCTTACTAACATATCAGAAGTATTCCAGAGGCATCAGAATATTGCCTAGCACTAAATGCTAATGCGTTTCTGCGTGGTGTTTCATACATCCCAACACACTTTGTTCATACATCAAACATCAAAACATAGAAAATTCTATTTTGAAAGGGACATCTGGAGGTCATCTGTCCAAATCCTGCTCAAACATGTTCTTAGGATGAAATATGCACGTAACATCCTGACACCCAGCATAAAATATTCACGAAAAATAAAACCTTATTTTGGCACCCACTGATCATATTTCCACTGACTGTTCCACTTTGTCAGAGAAAATGCAATGACTCACCAAACTGGTAGCCACGTTATTTTGCAGCCTTTTGCTTACTGGTCTTTAAGCCTTGTTGGCAAACGGGAACAAAACGGGAACAAAATATTACAAAAAATATCAGCAGTTCCAACATCTACAATGACCTGAAATTTTACTCTGATAATTTCGTTCCACTTGACAACAAAGTTTTGAGTCCTATACAGCAAACGGAGACAAGGATATTTAGTAAGAATCTACCTCCCAGCACAGAAAGGTCATGTAGCTCT